GGACCGGAGCCCCGGCGGGGCGACACGGCCGATGGCGAGCCGTAGGCAAGCTCCTGGTTTAGACATTTCCTCGGAGCTTCAGACCCGGGGTTCCGGAGCAGCGCGTCCAGGAGGAGCCCGTCCCGCTCCCGGCTGCAGGATCAGCCCCCGCGCTGCCCGCGCCGTCCCGGGCAGCCATTCCTCTCCGGGTTACTGCGGTCCGAAATCCTGAAATTAGGGTCATGCAAATAGGAAGATACGAACGTGTGTGTCAGCCCCGTGCGAGCCAAAAGCCCGGACAAGAGCTTGTTGTCTCTCCAGGTTAAAGGAGGAGGTTGTTCTACCCGGTGAGGCTGTTTACACAAAACACAAAGCAATTGAGGCTGGCACTCATTTCTTTTCCCTAAGGTCAGATTGTTTCTACTCGATCATACCGGAAACATTAAGGAGAGGATCGACGCAGGAGCCCAGCCATGTCCTCCTCAAACGCTAACCTGGCACATGCAGCGTGACGCTGGGTGATCCGGGGCTGCGGGATCCGCGGTACAGCTGCAGGCCACGTCCCGCACAGCTGCAGCCCCTGTCCAGCAGGCGGAGGGAGAAGCATTTAACGAAACGTTGTTCCTACAGAAGCCCTGGCTAGGCTGAGTGTCCCAGGGCCAATCTCCCGCGCAGGCAGGCTCTGCTCCTGCCTCATGAGCCCGCTCGTCCAGCCCTGCTCTCTGGAGGAGCCAGGTACCACCTCCCCAGGGAGGGCTGCGACCGACGCATCCTTGCCGCGAGCCGCTTGCCTGCAGCACGGGCTGGTGAGCAGAGAGCGGTGACCGCATCCTCGCCCAGCCCTGCGCTCCCTGGAGCGTGCGTGGGGCACGGTCCCGGGGGAACAGCCACCGCTGGCTGAAAGCTGTGTGTTCTGTGCCTGCCCTGCCGCAGGGCTCTGCCTGCTGCCTGTGGGAGAGGCGGCTCCCAGCCGGGGCCCCGGGCATCCCTGGCTGCCGGAGACAAAGGGCCGGGACAGATGGCTGATGGCTGCAGTGCTCACATCGGCCCTGGCGTAGGAGACTCTCGTGTTGTAAGATGCGACGCGGTTTGACTCAGCTCTGCCAAACGAGGGGCTACGTTCGGATGCGCCCTGCCCCAGACCTGCCCAGAACCTGGCTGCTTCTCGACAGACCCATTGCCGGGAAGGGGTGCACCCCTGCTCCCCTCACAGCCGTGGCTCTCGGGCTTTCCCGCTCCTGTTGAGCTCTCCTCCAGCACCTCGCAGGCTGCACAAAGTAAGGAGCCCACGCAGGAGCCGGACGATTGCTGTCCCAGCCTGGCAGGGCAGGAGGAGGCATGCGAAGAGCCGTCCTTCGGCGTCTGCCTCTCCTCCAGAGCACATCACAGGACGCGAGGCTGCAGTTTCACTCATGTAATACGTGTCAGGCTTAAAAACCTCCCCGCTTAAAAAGTAATTGCTTTTATTTTTATCCTGTCCTGACTACAGCTTCCAGCAGAGGTGGAGATTTCAGTCCTTCCCAGCTGAAAATCCTCAGCCTGATCCACGGGATGGGCAGCACCGCGTCTCCTTCTGCAGCTGCCAAAGCAGAGGCAAACCTGGCAGCTCAGGCAGCGGTGGGGCCTCCGCAGGATCGATCCCAGCGCCGGCCAGCGCACGCTGAGGGCTTCCTAAATTAAACAGGAAAACAGATCTGTCCTGGGAGCACAGGGACAGGCGTGTGCTCCAGGGGCGCTCGGCTCGGCTGTCCCCAGCCTGGGGAGCGCAAAGAGAGAAAACCGGTCCCAGCTCCTCACTCCCCGCGCACAGCATGGAGCAGGGCGGCCGCAGGATGGGCCCGGCGCCTCTGCGGCGGGGGCCCGAGGGCGGCCAGCCCCGAGCTGGGGAGGGAGACCGACCCCACGCAGCTCCGAGCGGCAGCATAGCCCCGGCCACCCAAAACGCTGCCCAAGCCCCGGGGCTGGCTCTGCGGCCGCCCCCACGCGGGGGTCCCTGCCAGGGGCCCCGCGCTGCCCAGGCACGGGAACACGGCCCAGGCTGGCAGGAGCCCGAGCTCTTCGGCGAGACACGGAGCCGGGCAGGGATCTCGGCTTGGTCTCTGGTAGGCTCGTGTCCCTTTATCGAGTATTTTCATCGCGAAATGAGATGCCTCAGAAGATCCCAGAGGAGCAGAGGATTGTCCTGGTCCCGGTGAGGCCCCTGCCGACGGGAGAGGAAATTAGGGGCGAAGTTTGATCCGACGGCTGCCCTCCTGCACCTCCCCAGCGAACGGCCCGAGCTTGGCAGGCGGAGGCAGCTAGGGCAGGGGCGCGGGTCCCCTCCCGACCTGGCCCAGGACACCCAGCTGGGGCCAGCGCGGCCTGAAACCAGCAAGCTCCTGCCCTCCATCAGCTGCCCGGCGCAGCGCTCCAACGGCGCCTGCAGCTCCCTGGCCGTTATCAGGGTGACATTTCTGGGCTGCAGGTGCCAGCGCCAGCCCTTCGCTTTGAGGAACCGCTGCAATCAGGCAACGTAACCCATTTCTCACTTGCATTTGGCTGCCAGGAAGAGAACAGGGGACCGTGTAATCGCTCTCCTTGGGATTAGATCACGGATCAAAGCCCTGCTCAGGTCCCTGCTCCAGCGAGCCCTGCCAGGAATTGCCCGTTCTGATCCCGGAGCTCAGGGCAGGATCCCGGAGGGGCCAGGACGCGTCCGAACGTAGGCGTCCCCGCAGACGGGGGATGCGCAGCTCGGGCTGCCCGTCCCAGGAAGGGTCGGAGCGGAGGAGGGCTCTGCAGCAACCCAGGGCTTGCTTCATGGTTGGCTTCAGCACCCATGCCCACGGGAGCTCCCGGCCCCCTCCTGCCGCGTCCGTCCTTGCCCCAACACCCACGAGTTCAGGGAGGAGGAGATGTCACCCAAACCTCAGCTGTGGCTGTAACCCCAGGCAGATAACTTCTGTAACTCTGGGCTAAGGAAATCCTCAGATGTAACCCATGTGCAAGTTCATCCCAACATATAAATTTATCGAACTGAAACAACTCTTGCTCTGAACTAGCCTCGTTAAATAAAATACCTCCCGGCGTTTTTCCTTCCCCAAGCAGCGGGACCCAAGCGTGCACGGCCCGATAGCGCCTTATCTCAGCACCAGGCCCCCGAGCTCCACCTCGCTCTGGCCAGCGAGCCCTAATCGCTGTGGCCAGACGCGGCAACGACCTCAGAGCGGCCACAGGGCAAAGGGCAGGGGCAGCGCCACGAT